CACTTCACGCACTAGTGCGTAAAGTAATGTCAATGACAGATGTCGACACTGTCAATTTGGCATTTTTCTGGTAAATCACTTCACGCACTAGTTCGTAAAATGAAAATTCTTTACGCACTAGCGCGTGAAGTATTTGACTAAATTTATTTTTGTACACATATTTGATTGGTAGTAGAAAAAATTTTGTATGCAATACTTGCGTAAAGCACCTTTTCTCACGAATGTGAATTTTGACGCACGAGCCGAAGGCGAGTGCGACAAAATTCACATTCGTGAAAAAAGGTTCACTTTACACACTTGTTGAATAAATAACTATTTTCGGATAAATGCGATACGTTATAGGTTTTGGAACATCAGAAGCTCTCAAAATCTGAAATAAAAAATCCAGGGTTGTATTTAAAAAAAATAAGTTGATGATGGTGGCCAAAAGACGAAACGTCAGATTTTAAATTTGATGGTAGCATCTTGTAGGGGAGAAAAAGTGGCTATGATGAAGTGATATTTTTTTCGAAATATCACTTCAAATAAAGTCAGGAAAAAATAAAAACAATTTTGCAAAATTTCGAAATTTTTCTGGATATCTCCGGAAGTATTCGGAATATCCTGAATATCAAAGCGGCATTTTGTTGAGTATCAAAATGCGCAACTTTGCCATAATTTAACCGACCCTGTATCTCTTACGGATTCCAAAATCCCAATGATGAGGCTCGAATTTGGGCCACCCTTTACTTACAGATTAACAGGATATACTACCAGGTACAGGTACAAAAAAGTGAAAAAAAATATCTTAAATTGATAAATATGTAGATGAAAATATTACCTTTCATCTCGTAGAAAAAATAGTGTTCCTAACTCGTGCGGAAAGTATCTTTTTCGCACTTGATTGCTTGCCGAATTTCGCTGCGCGTCGGTCGATAAACTGCAATCGCGTGCGGAAAAGTGGTACTTTCCGCACTAGTTAGGAAATATACTATTTTAACTTAGAATAGAGTTTATTCAGTTATCCGAAAATATACATGTATAAATACATTTCTCCTGGAGTGATTTTTCACTGGAAAATTTTGAAATTTTCTTGTAATGAGCTCCTCACTTTCCTCTTTCTCCTGTAAAAATTTCAAAATTTTCCCGTTGCCAGTTTTCCAGAAAAAAATTACAATGTAAGAGGGTGAATTTTCTTCAATTTTGCCTTAATAAGTCAATTTTCTTTGAATTTTTCCTGGAATGACTTTTTACTGGAAAATTTCGAAATTTCCCTGTAATAAGCTCCTCACTTTCCTCTTTTTCCTGGAAAATTTTCAAAATTTTCCCTTAGCCAGTTTTCAAGAAAAAAATTAAAATGTAAAAGGGTAAATTTTCCTTAACTTTGCTTAAATAAGTCAATTTTCCAGAATTTTTCCTCGAGTGACTTTTCATTAGAAAATTTTAAAAATTTACTTTAATGAACTCGCTTTCCTCTTTTTTCTGGAAAATTTTCACAATTTTCCTTTTGCCAGTTTTCTAGAAAAAAACTAAAAAGAAAGAAAATGAATTTTACTTAAAAAAGTCAATTTTCCAGTATTTTTCCTGAAATGATTTTCCACTGGAAAATTTTGAAATTTTCCTATAATAAGCTCCTCATTTTCGTCTTTCTCCTGCAAAAATATCACAATTTCCACTCTGCCAATTTTCCAGAAAATAATTGTAATATAAAAGAATGAATTTCGCTTAAAAAAGTCAGTTTTCCTAAATTTGTCCTGGAGTGTTTTTTCACAGGAAAATTTTGAAATTTGGCTATAATGAGATCCTCACTTTCCTCTTTTTTCTGAAAAAAAATCACAATTTTCCTTTTGCCAGTTTTCTAGAAAAAAACTAAGAAAATGAATTTTACTTAAAAAAGTCAATTTTCCAGAATTTTTCCTGAAATGATTTTCCACTGGAAAATTTTGAAATTTTACTATAATAAGCTCCTCATTTTCGTCTTTCTCCTGCAAAAATATCACAGTTTTCACTCTGCCAATTTTCCAGAAAATAATTGTAATATAAAAGAATGAATTTCGCTTAAAAAAGTCAGTTTTCCTAAATTTGTCCTGGAGTGTTTTTTCACAGGATAATTTTGAAATTTTGCAATAATAAGATCCTCACTTTCCTCTTTTTTCTGAAAAAAATTCACAATTTTCCTTTTGCCAGTTTTCTAGGAAATAAATGTAATTTAAGAAAATGAATTCTGCTTAAAAAAGTCAATTTTCCAGAATTTTTCCTGGGATGATTTTCCATTGGAAAAATTTGAAATTTTCCTATAATAAGCTCCTCACTTTCGTCTTTCACCTGAAAAAATTGCACAATTTTTACTTAGTCAGTTTTCCAGAAAAAAATTGAAAAACTTTGATATTTCTGTGAGAAACTCGAGTTCGAACTGCTATTATCGTCTAGCAATTTTTCAGCGATATTTTCAAGACAAAACCTTCCATTTTTTTCCCGCATATCGTGTTTTTTCACATCAGCGCGGTCACCGTTTTAAAGTTATTATTATACATATTTATATGGACATATGGCAACGCCGAGTAGCCATCAACTGGAACCACGTTGATTAGGGCGAGCCTACCACTCCGATGGAGCCCGGCTCGAAAAGTCTGGCTCCATTTGGGGGTCAAAAAATATACATGGAATAGGTTTTCTATAAGTGTTAACTATAATATTCTTTGGTCCTACTCATTTACAACATAGTCAATAATCTTGAGTCATCCTTATTGATAAATTATGTAAGTTTTCATGTAACAAAGATAAATCTTAGACTTCATGGTAACAAGATTTTTTCATGTAGAAATGTACTCTCCAATTAATAATATGCAATTGGAATGTAATAAATTTATAGATAGGCATAATATTGACTTTTTTGCTTGTCGAATGGGAAAGATCAGATCACTATTTTTGGGATAAGAACATCAACGGGCTTTACATGGCATCTGTCTAAACGGTCCTTTTTTCGTTATTCTTAGTATTTTATTGTTATTTTTATTATTGTGTATGTAGGATGTATCAATAAATAAATAAATAAATAAATATTTACCCTCAGGCAAAGTTTCGCCGTTTTTTGAGATATCGCCATTTCTAGATATTTTGAATCCATGTACTATTTCAACACATAACTTGAGCTACATATTTTTTGTATCAATCATTCAGTTTTTCTTTCCATATTTTTCCGAAAGAGTGCATATTGGGAATATTGGAAAAAAAATTGAAAAAGGTGAAAAGTTTTTGGAACAATTCAAATATCTCCCAAAAATATCTAAAAATGCTGATATCTCAAAAACAACGAAACTTTGGATAAGGGTACATGTGATCAAACAGCTCCCAAATGACCCCTCCTATCACTCATTGAAAACTTCCTATCGATGAACCAAACACCCTGTATATTTCTGCTGCTCAAAGGCAGTTCTGATAGAAAGCAAACACAGCCCAATTGCCAATTATAGATGAACAAATGACAACAATTACAACAAATGAGAATATTAACAAGTCATGCTTAACTCAAGATACTATATAGAAAAATAGACAGGGTGTTCATTTTAAAACTTACCACCCCTAATTACCTCTGAAACAGATAATTCAGCCTCGGCCGATATTTGCTATTTATCGTTCTCATAATGTTACTGACTTTAAAGCACCAACTAACAAAGTAGGTAATCATAACCGCCAAAGGCTCTTTCACTAATTTTTGAAATTGGCATGATTGAATGAAGCAACTAAAAATACAATTTTACTTTTATAATGAACAAATTCTTGGGTTGTAGGACAAGGATCATGGAAGAATGAAAACTATTTCATTTTGGCAACCTTTCGACTTTAATCTAGTCTTTTTTAAGCCCCTGAAATAATGGCATTACAAAAGTCAATCAAAATTAAACCAAAATCAACACTCAACAATTTTTTGTTTTCTTGGTCCACTCAACATCAGTGGAGCCAGATCAGTTTGAAGAAAATATAAAGAGAAACCAAGAAGTTGTGTATTCAGGAAAGTCGCTCAATTATATTACCAGCGTTTGGTTCATGCAATTATTGCAATTCAACCCTTAATTGTACTGGATACTGGATTTTAAATTATCCTGTACAATTGAGGGTTGAATTGCATGAACCAAACACTGGTAATATAATTGAGCAACTTTCCTGAATACACAACTTCTTGGTTTCTCTTTATATTTTCTTCAAACTGATCTGTCTGCACTGATGTTGAGTGGATCAAGAAAACAAAAAATTGTTGAGTGAATGTTGATTTTGGTTTAATTTTGATTGACTTTTGCAATGCCATTCGGCATCAACTCTCTGTGCCTTATTTTGGGGATTGAAAAAGACTAGATTAAAGTCAAAACGTTGCCGAAATAAAATAGTTTTCATTCTTCCACAATCCTTGTCCTACAACTAAGAATTTGTTCATTATAATTTTATTGAGGACACAAAATGGCTCAAAATTTTACTTTTGAAAAACTTGGACTTTATCATTGCTACATCACAACTTGTATTTTGACAGTGTTCGACTAATCGTCAGCATTGAAAATGTGTAATAGATTTAATTCTGAAATGTTGACAAAAGACCAAGAAAAATATTTAAATTAATTAAGCATTCAAGAGCCTGCTAGAATTCGATTGAGATTTTTTTGGCAAATATACCTGAAATAGTCCCTCGTTTGAGATTCTAGGCTTAAATTACGAATTTAAGTTTTAGTGTAAGAGCCCATTGTGAAAAGCCATTTTTTTATAACTTAGGGTTATATGCTATATTTTTCTGGATAACGACCGCTATAATCAATAGGGTTGTGAATAATAGGGGATAATGGCCTTTGTGACAAGAGTTAATAAAACCACATATTGATTGACCGATTCCCTATTATTCACAACCCTATTGTTATGTGCTATGTTCTGTTATGTAAACAAATTTTGTTTCAAAAACAGAAAAAAGTTTCTAAAACTGCACTTGCACCATATACCTAGCTGCATTTTTTCAAAAATACAAGTACAAAACTTACCGATAATACTCTGCCCACTGTAAGGAATAATCCGGTTGTCCAGTTGAAGGGTTAACTCCAACGCCGCCGCCACCTGGTACAGCAGCAGGATTTCCCGCCGGTGCACTATTTTGAGAGCCGCCATCATTTCCTTGTTGACCGCCCCATTGCTGTTGCTGCCCGTAATTTGGCATGCCCCAGCCTTGGGGATTATAACCTTGGGGTGCCATTCCTGGATAAGCTGTAGGCATGTTGCTGCCCATTCCTCCACTACCCGCAGATCCGCCCATACTACTAACGAAATTAATGGAAATTTGAATTTTGTCACTGATTATCCGCTTGGCTGTTTCTATGGAATCTGGATCGCCTTTTATTGTGAAAGTTTTCTCGGTAGCGTTTGCATTACTTCGTCTGTCCAGTTCGCAGTAGGCGCCAGATTGTTGATTGATTTGTTTGATAGTTTCTCCACCTAAAGGAGAGTATAATTTTCATAAACTGCCTTTTTTCATTACTTTCACTTACCTTTTCCAATAATAACACCACATTTGTTTGCTGGAACAACAAACGTCACTTCTTGATTATTGCCCGATCCTCCCCTGTCATTCCAATTGGATTGGCCACCATAATCACTACCACCACCTCCGCCATTTCTATCATTGCCTGTTGAAAATGATTTTGTTTTTATTCTTTATATAAATTTATACTTTGTTTTGCTTAAAAATGTATTTACAAGAAAACAAATTTATATTCATTAATTATTATTCAATGATCTCACCAAAATGACCTCCTCTTCCCCCTCTACCACCTCTACCGCCACCACGGCCTCCACGTCCACCTGTAGAAGAAAAATTATCATTATAATAATAATGTATAGACCCTGATTTACAATAGTTCATGCACAAGACGTTTTCTAGTTTCTGGCGGATTAGTAGAAATAGCATCTAATCCACCTGAGATCTAATGCACAAGCTATGCAAGTATCGTTCATTTATACAGGATGCCTTGTATCTACAACGAGTATCTTCCAGGAGTATTTCTGTGAATTATTTAAGGGAAAAGATTTCTAAACCCTGCATATTTGAGAAAAGGTTGCAATGTGTTATTTTCAAAACTTATTGAAAAAAAAAATGGTTTCATTTCTCTTTAAAAACTTAATATTGACAATAAGCAAGTGAAGTTTTATTACCTCCAAAGCCTCCTTGGCCTCCTCCAAAACCACCACCGCCTTCATCTCTTTGCAAGACACTGTCAATTAACTCTTCAATTTTTTGTCGGGCCTAAAGAACACAATAATTATCGTCATTTTATTATAAATACGAGTTTTTGCATTTTACGAACATGATCTACTTGTTTGGGGTTCCCACTCAGAAAACACTTTCTATCGCCGGGTCCTTCGTCTCTAGCCTGCTGGAATTGCACCCTGCAACCTGTCTCACTTTGAATTTTTTTGATCATGTCACCTCCTTTTCCTATGACGACACCTACTGCGGCTTTGGGGACTAATACCTCAAAATCCCCACCGCCACCGCCTCCACCGCCGCCGCCGCCGCCGCCACCAAAGTCGTTGTCATAACCGCCCCCGCCGTTGTTGCTTCCTCTGAAACTGAAAGAACTCTGAATTATTGAAATTTATTGAAAAAGCAAATGTTTGGAAGTTTGAACCTGACATCACACTTACAACTTGAAAAAACATATTTGAAATTTACTGGCATGCTCATTTAGAATTTTTAAAAAATGAACTGTGAAGGCCCTATTTCTTAGCTCAATGTATTGTTTTACACCCCTTATCTTTATTGTTGCATCTTGAATTGTTGATCAATAAACATTAATTTGAGAAATATGATAAATAGGTCTTGGAGTCATAGGCCGAAAACTTTTAAAATTGTGATACACAGAATAGACAAAAAAAAAAAAATAGGAAGAATGCTTTAAATTCTATTATCACAGACATGGAAATTACTGGGTAAACTGAAATATATTTTTAAATATTAGGATTTTCCTTACTCAAGTTTTTTGAGCTATGAACATAACAACTTAGGTACCTATCATTTCGGCCGCCTCTTCCACCACCGCCGCCGCCACCACCTCCACGGTTATTGAAACCCTTCATCTCTTTCTCAGCTATTAATTCATAAACCAATTGTTTAGCGTATTCGATTTTTTGTGCATCGCCAGTAATAACTAATGGCTTTTCCAATTCTTGTCCAGGGCCATCCTAAAGAATTCAATACAAAGGCAGAAATAAGTACGCTGACTTTCAAATACTTTGTTTTGTATAACCTACCTGAATGACCACCATTTTAGCTCCACTCTTCTCTTGAAGTTGCTTAATAGTTTCTCCACCTTTTCCAATAATTAAACCCACTTTTGGACCAGGTAGCATAATTTCCAAGCTATTCTGTCCTCCCCGAGAACTTCCCATACCTAAAGAGTTGAATATTGAAATAGATATTATTTAAGTTTAATAATCATGCTTACTCATCCTGGGTCCACCAGGGCCACCAGACCCTCCTCCAGGAGGTTTCAAGTCGTCGTCCATTCCGTTGCCCATTGGAGGCACACCCTGTGGTGGCCTTCCCATGCCCATAAGTGCTCCACTCATTCCAGGTCCCTTTTTTGGTTCTGGTTCTGAAAGACCCATATCTTAGGTGACAAAATAATAATTTTTTAAAAATAATGACAGAAATCTGGGAATAAATAGTGTAATTAATTAGATATTACATAGGTACAGAAAATATATGAGACATTCTTCAGCCAAAACAGTTCCTCCAGTATTTTTTTTTTATGTATGTACAAGGTGTCTGAATAAACATTGCAAAAGTCAGTTTGTGAAATATTACAGCCTTCACTTGAATTTATTTGAAGGAAGCATTTCAGATTGTCAGCCGCAACAGTGCTTGAGCATTTTTGACTTAACTAACAATACTAGCAACCAAAAATAATAAAGGACCCAAGTTTGAGCCTTGCGGGACACCTGAACGACTTTTGTAGATAGTTGATTTGCATCCTTTTAGATCCACATATTGGTATCTTTGTGGAAGGTAGGATTGAAATTCTGTTAGGTAGAGAGAAACATCCATGTCTGACAGAGATTTGAAAATTATGCAGTGCCTAAGCCTGTCAAATGCTCTTTCCATGTCGACATATTATATTATGTCTACCTGAGATCTGTTATTAATTGCCTCATGCACAAAATTGTATAAGTTGAATTATTAGGGAGAAAGCCATGTTGGCATTAGGTAATCTTGCCTCAGACATCAAACATCTTCTTAAAAACAACAATCTCAAAAATCTTGGAAACCGGGTTCCGGATCGGGATCATTTTTACTGATTTTCCACTGGTCAGGATAACTCGATGAATTTGAAATTAACTTAAACAAAAAACTAAGAGGCTCCAAAAGATGTTCTCTATATCCTTCAAGAATATAGGTGAGCAGGAAACTTATCAGGACCAATGGGTTTGTTTGCTTTTACTTTTTTTATGGCTTTAAGTTGTGTTTTGAAATGATTTTATGACAAAAAAATGATTTTAATTTGGATGGATGGTATGCTTTGTCATTATCATTGATGAAAACTGATTTAAAAAAGCTTGCAAACCCATCTGCCACATCCTGAAGGTCATCTCTTCAAGGATCCTCGAGGGGCTTTACATATGACCAGAAAAATTTTTAGGTTGATTTTCAAGTTCAGTTCAACATAATGTTGCTTATACGGTACTTGAATTTTGTTTTTAACTATGGCACGCATATATTTGTATTTGCACCTCCAAAAATGCAACTTAAGCTTTTTTGATTTCGAAAAGTACCTCTGCTTTTGTTTGATCAGCGTGATAGTTTTGTTATTATACCAGACAGGATATTTTTTTATCAATTGGAGTCGATTTTGGTAAACATTATTTAAAAATATCATTAAGAGTAGTGTAAAAAGAATCTAAAGCTAAGTTAACGTTGGAATAGCACCGCAGTTCTGATTGCTTAATATCCCAAACATTGATAAACAGTTGGCCTTACGAAAGGTAAATTCATGGACTTGAATTTGCAAGCCAATGGTCAAGCAAGGATGCTGATTGTCTATAGGCACCAAGAAATCGTTTGATTTATTTATGTGGTTATTATCAAAAAAGGAAATCACTAGATCGGGAATAACATTTTTGCAATTTCTAACAGGGTCAGAATTAAGCTGTGTCAAGTTATTAAAAGCTGAAAATGATTCCGGAGTGTTAATAATGTCATTGCACAAATCTTGATTAACGTTACTAGGCACATTAAAATCACCAACAATGATACGCTCTGAGTGGGATTTGATGCTTAGATTAGATTCAATTTAGTCAAAAAAAAAAAAAAAAAAAGTTTGTACATTTCCCTGGAGCTGTCCGGAACAATATATGTATAGGGTTTTCCCATATATTCTTGCACCCAACCTGCAGCCTTTATCCTTACAGGTAGATGATAGGTGTAAATACAAAAGTTGTTCAGTTTCAGCTAAACTTTTAGAACCCAATATCAGAAACAAAAATTGAATGTTAGAAATGTGAAATGTTGCATGCTTTCACCTTTTTTCAAATGGGATGCCCTATATTTGGTTATATATTCTTGAAGAGCACAATTTCCCGATTCCAAAAATGTACATATAGTTTATATTTGGTTGAGCCGTCTCCAACTTATTTGGTTCTAAAAATTGTAAAAATACTATCAGACAAACCAAGTACCTCATATTTTACCTGAAGCCATCACCTGTACAGGTAGAATGGTTCACAAAATCAGTTAGTGGAATAGTATTTTTACAATTTTTGGAGCCGAATATATAAGAGACTGCTCAACCAAATAATAGACAAGCTATATATTTTTGGAATCGTGACATTGTGCTCTTCAAGAATATAGAACCAAATATAGGGCATCCCATTTGAAACAAGCTGAAAGCATGCAACATTTCACATTTCTGGCATTCAATTTTTGTTTCTGACCATGGATTTTAAAAATTTAGCCAAAACTGTACCACTTTTGGGTGGCCCATTTTCGATGTTTTAAAAGGCTATATCGAAAACTAGCAGAGATATCAAAAATCTGGGAGCACATTCTCAAGCTCTTTTTTTGAGAAAACAACAATGGCGAAGGCAAATCACAGCTAACTTGATGCGTTTAGGAAATACAGGGCACTTTTAAAATTTTGTCCAATTTTAAAAGACTCTCTAATTTCCTTATTATTTAAGATATCCAAAAACGAAAAATACTTTCTATAGGCAGTTTTCTAAGGAGGATCCAGTGGCATAGCCAATTTTTCTCCAGATGCCTCCGATTTCGAAATATTGATCAAAGTTGTGTTTTTTTTAAATTGGACACCCCATATATTATTTTTGCATTGAATAGCTCTTTATAAGCTGATTTCAATGATATAGGGTTTTATACCTTTACCTTCTATAGTTTTGGAGAAAAATAAATAAATTCCGTTTTTCCATAAGAAACAACAAGCTAGAGAGAGATAAGTCATTAAATAAATTATGTGTTGCCTAGGTTGAACTGAAAAATTAAATTAAGAATTAAGAAATTTGTAGCCGATTTATAGTTCAATAATCTCTTTCTAACTCATTGTTATGGAAAAAACGGAATTAATTTTTTTTCTCCAAAACTATTGAAGGTAAAGGTATAAAACCTCATATTATCATCGAAATCAGCTCACAAAGAGTTATTCAATGAAAAAATAATATACGGGGTGTACCATTAAAAAAAACCCAACTTTGGTCAATATTCCAAAATCGGAGGCATCTGGAGAAAAATTGGTCATGCTTCTGGATTCTCCTTGAAAAACTGCCTACAGAAAGTATTTTTCGTTTTTGGATATCTTGAATAATAAGGAAATTAGAGAGTCTTTTAAAATTGGAGAAATATTGAAAAATGCCCTGTATTTCCTAAATGCATCAAGTTAGCCGTGATTTGTCTTCGCCATTGTTATTTTCTCAAAAAAAGAGCTCGAGAATAAGCTCCCAGATTTTTGATATATCTGCTGGTTTTCGATATAGTCCATTAAAACATCGAAAATGGGCCACCCTGTACAGGGTGTTCTATTAGGACTTAAGTGAGTTTTAGGCATACAGGGAGAGTCAAAAAAGTGCAGCAGTGTAAAGTTATCTTTTTTTGAATGGAACACCCTGTATATTGTGCGTTTATTTGTTAGTCCGCTTTAACCTGATTTCAATTGTATATGGTTTGATATGTTTATCTCTCGGTTTATCTCCAATCGAGTCTCCAATAGTTAAATGGTATAATTTTTCTTTTTTCAATGTGAAACCTTGATAGGGGTTTTCATGTTTTTTGACGCTCCCTGTATGCCTAAAACTGACTTAGTTAAAAACTTTTGACAATTTCTTGGAACTTTTGTATTTGACAGTATTTGACACGTTCTGTGTTTGACACTTTTGTCAAAAATGTCAAATGCAAAAGTTAGAAAGGAGTGACATTTATAATAGATCACCATGTACATAGAGATGTAAGTTTTCATGAAATTTTCAAATTTGAAACTTTTCGTGAAACTTTTCATGAAAAGTTGAAACTTTTCAATTTTTTTTTGAAAAGTTAAGTACAGGAAGAATAGGGCCTCTAAAATTATTTTTTCGAAATGATAGGTATTCAATAAATTGAATTGATGAATAATATAATTTTTATCAATTATTCCTTTCCATTAAATCACAATATTGCGGTTGAGGATTGAGGAAATAAAAAAAATTGCGTAATAGTGAAAAAATCTGTTTTTCTATGACCATCAAAAAATAAACAACTTTTGTCATATTTTACCTTAGCCGAAAACGTCATTTTCGTCACTAGTGATGAAATATCCCATAACGTTAACTTTCCTCACTAGTGACGCAAGTGAATGATTAAAATTTTACATGTTAAATACATTTTTTCAAATCCAATTATATTTCAATTCTGTGGAGCACAATGAAAAAACATAGTTCATAACAAAATTATGTAAATTTTTGTGATATATGTGCATAACGTCTCTAAATAGTCGTGTATGCGCTAGCTCACTATTAGTGTATGGTTAGATTAACAATGGGTTTTTTGTGACTAGAGTACCATTCCTTTGGGTACGGAGAATTGAATATTTTCAGTAATAAATAGACCATCACTCAAATGACTCTGTTTCATTTATAGTATATTACAATTTTGCTTTATATAATGTAATAAAAGCAAAATATAAGTATAAAATTAATTTAAAACGAGCACTTTTCATAGATGGCACCAGCTATCAAACCAAGTAGGAACCCTTGTAAAAAAAACATAAGTTTAACAGCAAAAATCAAAACATGGTCTTAGAAAAAGTATACTTGTCTAAAATCATTTTTTGCAACTTGAAAACAACTGTTTTCTCGTTGCAAAAAATGCTGTTTTCATCACTTGTTAATTATTTTTTCGCCCACGACCATGACATGCGTTTTCGTTTTAACAAACCTGGGACAAAGTCACAATGCATGATTCATGATCTTTAAACTTTTCACAAAATTTTGAAAAGTTTTGAACTGTCTTGAAACTTTTCAATGAAATGAAATTTTATTGAAACTTTTCAGGTGAAACTTTTCACACTCACATCTCTACATGTACACTACAACAATGCAGAGAAATAAGACGCTATTGGGTTTGACTTGA